TCACTAAAAAATTCCATGGCGGTACCCTCCTTAAGTTAAAGGATGTTTCTCTTCATTTTCATACAGAAAGTTGTTTCTTTTATCCACAAAAAAAAGACATCCGGGTACAAACATACTGTTAGATAAAAATAAAACCTACTGTTGGATACATCAGTACAGTGGCAATAGTTAACAATTGATTGTACATTTCAAAGTAGCTAGAAGAACATAACCAAAATGTTCCTGCATAAAGGTAAATATTCAAGGTGATGAATATTCTTGATTACCCTGATTTTCTTTTTACATATGATGTGAATGGATCAAATTATCAAATGTACCCTGAAAATATGTATATTACGTATTGATAAAAAATCTGTACAAGGTGTGTGTCTAATATTGCATTTCATTTGCATATATCTAAATAAAACAAGCTTAGTGCCATGCTCTAATGAGTCTGCCAAGTAAGCTAACCAAACTCTCCAAAAAACAATTTTTTCAAAACTACAAATTTTTGAACACGTATTTTATGACCTTTATATTTTCCCAAAGAATGACTAAAGTCTAAACAATAAAAGCCAAAACTTTTATTTCAATATTGAAAGTGAAAAATATTTAGTCTCATAAACATTCCCACATCAAAAAGCCCTGATTACTTTGAACAGGGTATTATGGGTTTCTGTAAACAGATTTGGTGTTGCATGTTTGGTGTGTCTGCCATGTGATTCAGTGCCATGGAAAGTTTCGTGTGTTTAGTAAATAATTCCCAGTTAAATTCCAAGTAATTGCTCATTGCAGGAAGTCAAACTTCTAAGTCTAACCTCACCCATGATAACCAAATCAAAACAAAACAAAAATCAGTGTTCTGCTAACTGACAGCATACACCCATTTGTTCTCCAAAGGATCATGCATACTAAAAGGATGATTCCTCTATCTAGTGGACACAGAGCAAATATGGACCTTTGAGATGAAAAAACTGATCTCAGTGATACCCTATACATTCAGATCTTTAGGACCAAAGCTATAATAGAGCAGTGAAACCGGTACCTTCATCATTATGAGTTCACCTAACATGGAGTTTCACAATCAAGAATGTTTCCTGGATGTCCTTTATAATGAACAGAAAACCTTCAAAACCAAGACAATAGAGAAAAACAATAGTACTTACGTTATCGAATAGAGCAATATGGTTTATATTTTGTGATACAAGACCAGTACATACAGCTTTATCTAATTTAATTTTGTTACCAAAAGTATTATTTTATTGTTTCATATCCTGTTTTGGAGATTTTTATAATAATTCTCATAAATCTTTTACAATTTTTTTAAAAAAAAAAACAAATTTAAAGAACTGCTTTGGTAACTTTCTTATTTGTATGACTCCCAGATCTGCAGTCCTAGGAACAAAAGAAAACACAGAATTCAGGAGAAGGGAGAGGGTAAGAGAGTGCCTCTGCTTTATCCCACAGTCTCTCCATAGCTTGTTTTTTTTTAACTCTGCCAACTGGTGCCATCTTTTCCAGTGTCCCCATTCAATTAAAATGCTCACTAATCCAACATTACTTTCAAAAGTTCTATTTCCCACTATATTATAACTTAATGAAGTGACAGTTTAATGGAGAAGAAATAAGAGAAAATGGATAAAGCAAAATGATACATACTCCCCACCATGCTGCCACATTTAATGTGCTCCTCAGCCTTCCTCTGATGGATCCAGCTCCCCTACTGTCTTCCACTGTACTTTGATCAAGATGTCCAACAAAAGAACAGTTCCCTCTCTGAACTCTACTATAATGTATATACTATAATGAATCATTTCTCGGTAAAAGTAAATAGGAGAGCAGGTGAAGTTTGTGGTCACATATGGAAGGGAAAGAAAACCCAGGCTCAGTTCCAGAAGGTCTGTGTGTCAGAGTGAGATATGTATGTATAACGCATCCCTGGACACAGCCAGCACACCATCCTCTGTCTCCACTTTCTCATCCAACAAAGGCTATAATGTGGAAGTCCTGACATCTACATTTTAAAAATGAAGAACCTGGGACCTATAAAACTTACATTGCTTGTCCAAGGTGATATAACTAGTTTTTCCAATGTGGGGTGGGGGGCAACAGACATTGTTCAGCAAAAGAAACAATCAGTTATAATAGTTTATGGGAACTTTTAAACCTTGAACTTATGTGCTTATATTGCTAAATCCCTAAGCATGTAAAATCCACAGGTTAAAGACAAAACTGCTTACAACACTTTAGTTATTTTATAGGCTTTAAAATATTTACTGTCACAAAACTTCACATGTGAAACTGAAAAATACATAGTTACAAATATGCGCATTAAAAAGTGATCATAGAGATATTTTCGAGTTTCAACAAAATTAACACTACATATTCTAAACTGTTGGTTTGAGCTACTCATGCCAGAAATATTATGTCTCTGTAAGTTTACCGCTAGATCATCAAATATATATTTTTAGGTGATTAGAACAGATTCTTCAAACATAATTTTGTATCATGGACCTTAGTGATGACTTGTGTAGCAAAGTTAGATTAATAATGACAAATGAATATGTTACACATAAAATTATTTAAAATTATATTTGAAAGAGACTTAGTCTTATTTAATTTTGTTACCAAAAAATTTCATTTTATTGTTCCATATCCTGTTTTGGGGATTTTTATAGTAATTCTCATAAATATTTTACAATTGTTTAAAAAAAATTTACAGAACTGCTTTGATAACTTTTATATTTGTTCCTTAGTTTCTTTTAAGTATTAAACTATGAAAGCTCATTTTAATTATCTAAAGTCATGTCTATTGAATTATTTTAGAAAGATAAGGCCTGGTTTAAATTGATTCAAGAAAGTGTAAAAGCAAGCTTTATATTCCACTTCTAATCTAAAGCAAGAATTTCAAATCATTCCAAATTACTGTACATGAGTTACTGGATAATAGAGTCAGAAAACTTTATACTGTGTATAAATGGCCAAGCCAGTAACATAATCCTTAAGTCTAACATTAAGCTATCTACAAACAGGTTGTTTTAACTGATAAATTTTCTTTTTGAGTTTGCATGTTAAATATGAATTTCAAGTAAACATCAAAGATTTTTTAAATTCAAGTATTCTCCATGTAACCATTGGGACACACAGTAAAAATTATTGTTTACGTGAAATTCAAATTTAACTAGGCATCATATATATAACCTGGCAACATTACTCTACTGAAAAGTCAGCTTCAGTACAGTGCATACAGACACTTTTAGCCTGGCCAAGAGAGTTACAGGAATTATTTATGCTCTTCAATTTCTGTTTGAGATTTGCCTCAATAAACTCTATTTTCTAACTGCACAATGTGACAATAGTAGTGTTTGTCCATGACTCCTTTAGACGACATGAGAAAATGAACAGATTTTTCCCACTGTAATCATCTGAATACAACCAAAAAAGAATTTTTTTCTTTTTTTGAGATAGGGCTTCACTCTGTTGCCCAGGCTGGAGTGCAAGGCAGCAAATCTCTGCTCGCTGCAATCTCCGGCTCCTGGGTTCAAGCAATTCTCCTGCCTCAGCCTCCCAGGTAGGTGGGACTACAGGCGCCCACCACCATGCCCAGCTAATTGTTTTTCATTTTTTTTGTAGAGACAGGGGTTTCACCATGTTGGCCAGGCTAGTCTGGAATTCCTGACCTCAAGTGAGCCACCCATTTTTCCCAAAGTGCTAGGATTACAGATGTGAGCCACTGCACCAGCCCAAAAATAATTTCTTGAAGAGAAAATATTACTTATCATGGATGGAGATCTGAACTCTGTTACTCTGCCAGTTATCTGACCTTGGGCAAATATATATAACTCCTTGGGCCTTGGTTTCCCTGACTTCAGTAGCCCCCAACAACATTAACATTTTGTAATTCTATTATTCTAGGTGAACCAAAATGTGCCTAGTTCTTAATAACTGTGGTTATGCTTGTTTATTTTGGAAGCAGAGGAAACAACAACCTCTATGTTAAAAGAAAACCAAGGGACTAGCTAAAAGATAATCCTTATGTCTCATTAAAATGCATAGTTTCAGATGAAATGTTACCCACAGGTTAAAAATGCAGCTGAAAATTTTCATAAACAATAGCTGTTATCATCCATAAATAACTTTAAATAGCAGTCATTCGCTGGACCTTCAGTACCAAATTACTTTTATTTGAGACCACTAAAAAAAAGCAGTGTACAGTTTACCTTGTGAAACTCTTGTATGTTACCGCCAAGAAATTATAAAGTAGTCACAAATCCAGTGAAAGCTATCTATGCACAAAGGACAAATCTATAGATCCTCCAAATTTTTCTCCTAATTCTATTTTCTGATAGATTCTCCAAATTCTTTGTTCTAAATAGCATTTCTCTGCACAAAGAATCTCTAACACTAGCTCATTGTGTCTTCAGTGTAGTTAACATGCAGCTATTAAGGAAAGTGACAATAAATGCATTTTTCTAGGTCACTACCATGCCCTCTTGAAATCTGAATGCCAGGCAGTGCTTTCAAATGATTAAATAATCTGTTAAGGGAGAGAAACAACTGACTACCAATATATTCAACATAATGTAAAAATAAACAATCTCAAATTATACCAGTGGACAAGGATTGTGGCTTCGCAAGGTTGCAGGATAAATATAAGAATTTGATTATATTTCAAATTCAAATTTCTTATTTGGAACACAATTACAAAAAGCATTATATATTTAAAACTCAATTTTACCTGGGCCAATTGTACTTTTATTTGATAAGCCTGACAGTTCTATTTGGGATACCTAGTATGAGATATATGCTCATTAGCACTGCCCCACAAATCAAGTTGAATTGGTTTTAATTTTTCTACTAGAGGCAAGAGGTTCTACTATTATAGCACACATATAGATGAGTAACTTTCTAGCCATAATTCCTGTTATCATTAATATCTTCCTGCTTTTAACAAATCAGATACCTATCATTAAAACTATAGTCTACAGTACATACATTCAGAAAATAAACATTTTACCTACCTGTGGGTAAGATATGAGAAGGCCACATAACCAAATATTTCTTTTTTTTACTTCCTTTGCAAATTCTCTAATCTGCATTAGGTTTTCCATTTTCTGACTGGGAGGTACTAATTTAAAATCAAGAAAATGAACCTGCAAAATATAAGAGACAATCTTTAGAATATCATTCCTTTCAACTTTCTCTTGAGGGGAAATAACATTAAAGAAACCTAAAACCCGTATGATTACAACACTGCAATAATCTTTATCAACTTGTGTTAATTTCTAGTTGTGCTTCAAGTCATACTTAAGATCAATGAATCCTCCCTTATAAATACAGATGTAGTAAACACTGAGAACACAATGGTAAAAAACAAAATGCTAATATTCTATTTCACTTAGAGTCGGATAAATAAAGGATGTATAATTTCATTAAATCATTCGACCTAATTCATAATCTTTTACTAGGCAAGACAGAAATACAGTCTCACATACACTATTTTATAAATAAAATTCAAGAAGAGTGATTATCCAATTAAGTAACTTAAGTTTTTTAAGAGAATCTTTCAATGTGATCAATAATTGTCATCTTTAAGAAATAATTATTTCTTAAAGTAAACCAAGAGGGCTTTTATGGAGACTATTTTTAAGCAGTTATAATATTTTTCTTGAAAATATGCTAGTGACCATTTTTAAAACATTTTAAATTTTTTTTATTGATACATAATACTCCTACATACTTACAGGGTACTGTGATATTTTGTTACATGCATAGAATGTGTATTGATCAAGTCAGTGTATCTAGGCTGACCATCATCTAGAATGCTTATAATTTCTATATTTTGGGAACATTTAAAGTCCTCTCTTCTAACTATTTTTAAAAACACAATACATTAACCCTTGTCACTCTTGGCCAGGCATGGTGGCTTACTCCTGTAATCTCAGCAGTATGGGAGGCAGAGGCTGAGGCACGCAGATCACTTGAGCCAACAAGTTTGAGACCAGCCTAGGGAACAAGGTGAAATGCTGTCTCTACAAAAAATTCAAAAACTACCAGGTATGGCGACATGCACCTGTAACTTACTACATACCCCCATGCCAGCTGGACTAAGAAACAACACTGCTGCTTACTGTGTAAAAGCCTCAACACACTATTTAACTTTTTGAACTACAGAAATACCTTTATTACTTAGATATCATGTACAATCTGACTTACTTCTATGTTATCCCATCAAATCAATGACTTAAATTACAGGGAAACATTTAAGACATTAAGGAGACATAGGAGAAGTATTTACAGGGTCTTTTCATGAATTAACTTAAATTCAGATACAAATGCAACCTTATGAAATGCATAATTAGGGTAACAAAATTCAAGCATTAAGAAGTAGGATGTATCTCAAAATTCCCTTTTACCAGATGCAAAGGCCTGATGACAACATGAAAACAGAAGACAATCCCCTGCAGCAGATGTTCTTCCTAATACCATGAAGCTTCAGCATATACTTTACAAAGTGCTACTAAGTTTCAACTTCTAAAATATACCAACTACTTACATATTCCAGGAAAAAAAATTCAGTTGGTACAAAACCACAGTTTTAATTTAAAAAAAAAAAAAAACAGGGCATTTTTATACAATGACAGCAGAGGGTTACAAAAGGGTAACTCAAGAGAAATGTAAATGTTGTTGCCTTAATAAAATAAACTTACAGCCAAGCCAGGCTTGCATCCACTGAAATACAGCCAAATATTTCATGTAGTTTGAGTTCTGCAAATTTGCTTATAGCTACTTATCAAGCAGGTATTTTTGATGTCTTTTTGTACTGTTTACTAATTCACTACATAGAAATTACAATAAAACAGTATTTCCCATGCAGCATGACATTTCCAACAGTTCTTTCTCACGTATACATAAAAAAAATAAGACTATCCTTCTGCCCTCCAAGAAAGAATATCTAATTTCATTTTATTGAAAGGTAGCACATTTACTCTTATAAACTGGTAAACTACTTAAACATTTAACATGTGGTTAGTCTCATGGCTTTGTGGGTGGGCAAGGTTTCTGGATCTCAGCGTTTAGAAAAGACTCCTCTGTGCCTTGTATGTCTTCTATACTGAGCTCTACACAAACTTTATATTTGTCTAGGAATCATTTAATATACTCCTGGTCCCAGATGAATTCTCATTAACTTAATATTTTTAAATAACCTTTTTTTTTTTTTTTTTTACTTCTGAGAATAGATATGTTAATTAAAGGACTGTAAGTATCAAGCCCGAGATTCTTTAAAATCCCACATTTAACACTTTCCTCTCACTGCAGAGTCTATGTTCATAATAAAAGTCACTCAAAGGGAGTCAGGATTGGTGGTATGAAGGGAAATCATCTCTGTTCATTTCTCTAAGAAGAAAGTTAATTTGCAAATCTTAAGTATATACCCAAATAATGCATTGCTTAAAGCCCACCAAAGTGGAAAGGTTGGTCAAAATGAAAGACTGTATTATGAGTTAGAACTGGTAGATAAACCAGAGAGATTCTTCGAATCTACATAATAGCTGCAAAATTATCAACATGTGCATAAAAAAATTGTACTAGGAAGACTCACTATCTTCAAAACCTAATTTTACAAAAGAAATCTAATGATTCTAAAAACAGATGAAACTAGTCAATACTAAACAGCTCCAAGTAATATTAGATCTGAAGGATTAGAAAAGATTTTAGAAAAACTGTCTTATTTCAACTATTTAGGAATAAAATTTTATTAATTCAATAAACTAGGCTTTCAAAAGAATAAACTTCTACTACTGAACCACTTCATTGTAGAACAATTTTAAATCAGAGTCATCATCAAAGTCAACTCATAATTCTGAGGAATAGAAACTAAATCATAAGCTATCATTGAAACTCAAAGCAAATGTGTAGCAACTTACTGGTAAATCTCCACAAAATAAAATACCAGCAAAACTAAATGGAAAAATAATGGCATTTAATGAAAGGTAGTAAATAAAACACACCGCATTAAAACATTAACCATACAAAAGATTCAAATGCTTCTTTTGATTCAAAGAATTAAAAATGAAATGAGTTTCATAATATCAGTACAAATGTTAACGAGTACACACTGTTTCAGATCCTTATTCAAAACATCAAAGTAATGAATCTAGAAATTCACATTTTAAAATGTTAATAGGAAAACTTAACATTACTTCAAAAGTATTTTTAAAGTCGTAAAATACGTATTTTTTCAAACTATTTTACAAGGTGGTCTCTCTCACAAGAACGTTAACACTGTTATATTATGGCACAATTATCTCAAGCATTACATACATCTACAATTACCTTAATTAACATCTGTAACCAATTTTAGAATCAAAAGTTAAAAACAATCCCACTGATTAATATAAAGCATTGATTTGTTTAGCCAACTATAAAACATAATTCTATGCTCATTTACTTTCTCCAAGAAAACTGACAGAAGATAAATCACCAAAGTAAGAAGTTACAAAAAAAGCAGGTATACACTTCTTCAAAATTTAACTGAGTTTACAATATCATATTTTAGTAAATTGTCAAAATTTCATTTTACATTACAAAAACTATTACTGCTTAAGCATCAATCTGTAATTATTAAGGTTCTCTGAAGGCCCTGGAGGCATGTATTACTTGTCATTTAAAAAAAAATACTGAACAGTTTTAGAGTTTACTTCACAAAGAGGCCTTATGCATTTAGCCCAACTACTACAAGTCCATCATGCTACCTTCAATCTATAAGAATTGATTCTGTGGGATGTACCTACTTACGCAAGTTTTTAAATAAATATATCAAATGTGTTCCAAAGGCACAATAATCTTAAAAATATTTTTTAGAAGATAAGGCATTCAGAATACACAGAAAAAAATATTCAAAGGCATAACCAAGATGCCTATAAAGCAGGTATATACTGTATCTAAATCATATTAGAAGAATCTCCAGTGATTCATCCTGTGCCTTTTCTTGTGTATGACCCAAATCATTACAAGTATTTGTAATAAGTAATTATTTAATAAACTCAGGAAAAATGCTTTGGTAAAATAATCTTAGGTTTCTTTGATCACAGGAAATAATCTAGTAATCAAAATCAATGTAGATATGTAACATTAACATGTTATACATATTTATTGTGAATTTTTCATTAAAAATATGTGAAAATATTTTCATTTATGAGACCAACATATGAAAAAATGCTCATCATCACTGAGCATTACAGAAATGCAAATCAAAACCACATTGAGATACCATCTCACACCAGTTGGAATGGCGATCATTAAAAAATCTGGAGACGACAGACCCTGGAGAGGATGTGGAGAAAAAGAAACACTGTTACACTGTTGGTGGGAGTGTAAATTAGTTCAACCATTGTGGAAGACAGTGTGGTGATTATTCAAGGATCTAGAAATAGGAAAATTCCATTTGACCCAGCATTATACCATTGCTGGGTATATGCCCAAAGGATTATAAATTGTTCTATTATAAAGACACATGCACACGTATGTTTGTTGTGGCACTGTTTATGATCGCAAAGACCTGGAACCAACTCGAATGCCCATCAATGGTAGACTGGACAAAGAAAATGTGACACACATACACCATGGAATACTATGCAGCCATAAAAAACGAGTTTGTGTCCTTTGTAGCGACATGGATGAATCTAGAAACCATCATTTTCAGTAAACTGACACAAGAACTGAAAACCAAACACCACATGTTTTCACTCATAGGAGGGTGATAAACAAAGAGAACACTTGGGCACAGGGAAGGGAACAACACTCAGTGGGCTGGGTGGGGAGGTGGAGGGGAAGGGAGGGGAGGGACAGTGGGGGGCAGGGCAGATAGGGAGGGATAACCCTGATGTAGGCGACAGGGGTGGGGAGGTTGGGGGGTTGGGGGATGGGGGGGTGGGGATGTGGCAAGTATGTACTTAAGCAACAATCCTGCAGGATGCATGCTATGCACATGTACTGCAGAGCCAAAAGTACAAAAAAAAAAAGTGACAATATGTGAAAAAACTATGTTAAAAAATGTAAAAATAATGACTACAGACAAAAATATAATACCAGGAAGTTATAGTTTCAGTGCTTCCAATAAAAAACTGGAAAGTCTTTGTTTTACTTTGTT